GGCTGCGGGGGTGGGCGAGGGAGCCGCTTGCTCTGCGGCGGGGCGCTGGGCCTGGCCGGGCCGTCAGCAGCGTGTAGGTGGGCTGCCGTCCCGCGTTGAAAAGTCGCATTGGAACAGGCGAACGGCAGAAGGCCGCCCCACTGCTAACAGTGCTGGTCAGAGCTGCCGAGCAGCCAGCGCTGGGACAGGCGGTTCGTAAGCACATCCCTGTAAGCCCTGTGCCCTTTCAGCGCGCGGGGTTTGTGCTGGCCCTTCTCCTGGTGTTAAAACTGGGAGTTCTTCGTCTGTGGTAAGGTTCTGATCTCTCTGAGGTGAAGGCAAGGCCTGGGCTTCATGAGAGTTTGGAAAGGCCAACCCTACAGGTACGGAAACGGGATAAATGTGGTGTAGTTCGGTAGGAAGCGCACAGAGACACCGATGAACAGTTACGACTTTGCATAGTTGTTGGATAAATTTTCAGCACCGCTTTTAAAATCCGGTAAGGCAAACACCGAAGCCACAGGTTTACTTTCGTTTTACTGCGTTAAACCGTGAAGGTTGTGTGGAAACGGCCGAGAAGAATCTTTGCCAAACTGCGGGCTGTCCTGAGAACTGCTGTGCTGTGAAGTGAGAGGAAGGAAAGTTACACTGAATTTCTCACAATCCCTAGACCCAGCATTTTGCCTGGTCACTGTTTTGGAAGGGCAGTTTGGAAGGCCAAGCGCTGTTTTGGAAGGGCAAAATCCCATCGCCACAGCCAGCCAGGTCCGGGTGAGGCTAGGTTTGTTTCACTGAGCAAACAGCTCCTTCCCTCCATCCTGCCCACCTCCCCAGCAAGGGTGTGCCTGCCGAGAAATAGTCTCCTACTGCTCTTGTCCAGTTTTCCTTGTTTGGTGATAGCTGGTAGTGACTCCATGCTGAAAGCAAGATGAGAGATCGTTAGAGCTGTGATCACGTTAATATTAACTTTTTTATTATTATTGTTGAAGTCATATAATGGGAAACAAGTTAACTGTAACAAAAAGTACATTTACTTTAGCCTGGAGTGAAGCTAAGACATAGTAGTTTTATGAATCCCTATTCATTAAGTGCATGATTGAAGCACTTGGTGAGGCAAAAGCCTTGCTCTGTGCAGAGCACAAATTAAATGTGCAAGGGGACATGCTTTTTGTTTTACGTGTGTTCAGTCCTCATCACATTCTTAACTTCATGGTGTTGATGAAAGGTACCACCTCCATAGGATTGAGGGTTTGGTATGGTCTCATTAGAAAGAAAATTCATTAGCTTAAACCTCCCATGATAAAAGCATAAATACTTCTCTGCTTTTTGTCATTACAACTTAATCTTTGCCCGTGAATCATACTAAAGGCAATTTTTAAGAACAAGGTCTCAAAGGAGAAAAATACGTGTTTAACTCTCAGTTTGATCACAAGTTATTGCTGGGTGGGAAGACACTGGTTAGTTTGAAAGCCGAAGTGGTTATAATTGTGTCATTTTACAGAAGAAAAACCCCAAACCACGGTAGTCAATACTGTTTTTCCTCTTTAAACACAATGGTATGTATAGAATGTCATCAGGCTCTTTCTGTCGTGGGGGCGGCTTAGGGTGATTCACTAGCTCAAACAAATTGGTCTAAAATTGGTGTAATTCCTTGTGTTATTTCGAAAGAGTAGTGATTTCTGTAACTAAGTTTTGTTTCTGTAGTTGCATTAAATATTTTGGTGGTTTATATTTTGACAGTTTAATAAGCACATATAATGAAAGCGAAAAATTATAATGTAATCTTTAAGTATTATGCTATTGTGAAAATAAGCTGAGGAAAAATAAATTTGTTTGAAAGTAAACTTTCCACAGTGGCAAATCTGTGCTGTGATGCTAAAAAAAACCTAATAGTTTTCTGACAATCTTGTTAGTCAAACTTTAATATTTTTTAAAGGTCGTCAGTGAGAAGTGGAGAAATGGCTAAATTGACCCAGTTAATTGAAAATGAAGTCTTCCGGGCTTACGCTACTTACGCAACTATCGTTCTTCTAAAGATGATGCTAATGAGCCTGATAACAGCATACTTTAGGATCACAAGAAAGGTAAGAAATTGGCAATACTATGTGGTAGAAGAGATTGAAATTGGTATTGAAATAAAGAGATTTCACAGTTGTTTATTTTCTTTTCACCTCTCAAATACTAGTGCTGTTCCTCCTCCTCCCTCCTCTGATGATGTTCTGAGTTTGGCGTGCTGGTGCTTCGTTGGTCTCAAATGGATGACGTCTTTAACCTAATGATGAGATAGTTATGAGACTGTATCTTACATTTTCTCTTTCATTTGACTTTTGACTTAACTCTACCCTTTTAAAATGTTTCTATTATTTTTAAACAAGAGTCTTTAGTAACTACAGTTATTTCCACTGTCTTCTACAGAAAGCTGGTGCCCAGGGTACCCAATTTATAAAGCAAATAAAACGTGATAAGAAGCCATGTTACATGAATAACCAACTAGTAGGGTCAGAAGAGGGGATATGAAGTGGATTTTTATGCATCTATAACCCTTTCATCCAGTAATTCTAGAGCTCTTTACATTCCCTAGTTGTTTTAGCTTTCCCACTGCAGATAGGTCATTATCTAAAAACCATTAATTTTCAGTCAGGCTGAAAATTTATGTGGATTGATGTGTGGGCTAGATAAGTATGTGAAAGATCCACTGAGGTTTACTAAATAATGCAGAAGCTACATCTAGCTTAGGAGAGAGTGCTCGTGGGAAGCATCACGTTGTGTTTGCCCTGCTCTTGGTCTCTAGGCATCTGCTCATGGCCACTGTTGGTAGGTACCGCGTGGTCCGGGGTTGAGAGAGCCCTGAGTTTGCCCCATATGGCTATTCTTGTAAGATCTGCTTCTGCAAGATGGTGTGTGCCTCAAGGATTTGTTGCAATCCTTTAGTTGGAATGCTGCTTTCTGTTCCTGCTGGGTGCAAGAGAACCTAGCTGAACTGTTCTGTTGGTCGTGAGGTCCTAATAGCACCACATTGGAGGTACTGCTGCTTTCTGATAGCTTGCTGGGTCTTTGGCACAACTGAAGATTGAGTATGGTAGACCCCACAGCCTATCCTGCATATTCAAAGTAAAACCCAGGTGTTTCTGTCGTAACCTTAACTCGCTTTTGCTCTTGTGCAAGCATGTCAGCTGTATGGTCCTATGTGTAGATCCAGTGGAGTCCTGTATTAATGTTCATACCACGTTATGGTCTCTGTGTGTGCAGGTGACAATGGGGCCTTCCCTAATGTGGAGTACTTGTTTTTCTTATGATAAAAAAAAAGTTTTCTTGTTACAAGCAGACAAATTGTTAAAGTAATTTTTATTTCCTGTTTAACATAAAAGTAGTCCTTAAAATGTGAAGAAAGCAGTGGAGCAAGAGAAGGTAAACTGTTGCTGATAGTGTTAACATGTCTTCAGAATTTTTAGGCCAGGGATATTTCACAGAAAGGGATCAAGGCTGCCTCAGAAAGCAATCATGTAGCTCGCCTAAAATCAAAAGGTTTCCTAGACTTAAGCCCGCATAGCCTGAACGCTCCCCAGGATGCATGCGTTGCCATGTGTCAGCAAGGAGAGGTCTGCAGTCTGCACTAACAAAATGAAATGCTTTCAAATAGTGTCTTACAGTATTTGGAGGTAATAATGGGTCATGTCAGTGGAAAATACACAATTTATACCTAAAAGGAAAGGGAGAAGCTTATTTGGTCATAAGTGAGGGTGAGATGAGTCTCTTGGATGCTATTGCTGTGTAGACTTCTGAAGAAGGAAGGGATCCAAAAGGGCTTTCACATAATTTGTCAAGAATAGTGAAAAAAGATGCCTAGGCAGGGCAGACAGTAGTTATGTTCCTTCAGCCCACTGACATTACTTCAGGCTGAATATCAGTTGTCTCCTGTGCTTGTCCATATTAAGAGAAGACTTTATCCTCGTGCATAAATTACATTACATTACGTGGTCTGCACGCAGGCTGCACACCTGCTAGGCTCAAGACAACAGTAACGCAGCGAACAAAGTATTATTCCCTGTGCATTTAGCTTCAGGTAAGTTACGTGAAGTTATAGAGGCATTAGTAAAAAGAGTGACCTCTATAGCAAGCTACCTTGACTAGAAAAAAACCATTCTGGCTTCTAATGTCTCTTGTGTGTTTATGTTTGAAATAGGCGTTTGTCAACCCAGAAGATACAGCATCGTTTGGTAAAGGCGAGAGTGCTAAAAAATTCCTGCGGACCGATCAAGATGTTGAACGAGTACGCAGGTAATGCACAGGAGTCTCGAAAGGTTATTTTAGATAGCAGAATAATACTAAATCAAGGAATTAATTTCACTCCATTCTCTTTGGCAAGCCGGTATGTGTTTTGCTTTATGTAATAATCTAATACGTTAATTTGTCTAAATGAACAAACTGTTCCATACTTAAACTGTCAGAATGCATATTAAAAATAAGAAGTCTGAATATAATAGCTGACTCTTGGATAGTGTATCCTGTGTGCATGGGGGAAGTGGTGAGCAGATTGTAAAACAGGACCGTAAGTTGACTTAGTATAAAGTACACTTAGTATGAAGTACACTGAGTGTAAATCAGCTAACACCAGTTGCAATAGTTGCATCTTTTCCTCAAGTGCAAAGGAAGTAATGGGGAAGAGACATGGAACTGTGATACAGTTATGGAACTCCAGAGCTGTATTGAGGGCCTTACTCTTGCAAATCGTACTGTGTGGGAGTCGAAGCCTGTGCTCTTTTTGCTGGATTGAGTCGAGGTTACTCACTGGTGTGTCAGTTGTCCGGGCGAGTTGACCAGCCTTCTGGAAGAATGCTGTTAATACTGTGGCTGTGTACAACACGTGGTGTATCTGTTTTCTTTTGCAGGATTCATGGCAGAATGTAAGCTGTATTTCAGTAGGCTAAATGGTGATGGCAAAATTTGCAGTTACCAAAATAACAGCTTTAGAGATGCTGTTTGATACACTTGTGCTAACAAGGAAAGCTTTTAATGGGATGCTTTCCATATCATTGTTCCTAAATGAAGCTAACAGTTTATTTGCTATATACATTTTTATACGAAAAACCTTGCATGTGAATGAACTATTCTCATTTAAACCACCATTAGAGAAGATCTTGAAAATAAGTATCAGCTCTGAGTTAAGAGCAGCGCATCCTTGCGAATGTAGGCGCTGTGGTTCCAGGAAGGCTAGCGTATTTCTGCATGCCTCTTCTGAATTCTAATCGGAGAAAGAACAGCCTAGCCTCGGTGGGCTGGAAAGATGCTCTGAACTTTCCTTTTCCCGCCGTGAGTGGTTCAGGGAATGATTAGCTGTTTAGTTTGCTGGTTTCAGTATAAAAATGGGCACCTTTTGGTGAGGACTAATTCCTTTCCATTTGTAAATCTCAAGGAGACAACTAAGTCAACCCTAACTTTACAACCAGATGCCATTTAAACTCAAATTGTTACATTCCAGAGACAAACACCTCACAGAGTCATTTCATAGGCCAGATTTTAAAACACTGTTATCAAATCCTGTGTTGCTGTTTTGCAGTGTTGTTCATACTTCCCCAGACCGAGTAAATCAGCTTGGTTCTGGTTACTCCGTTGGTTCTGCAGCATCTGTTTTTTCCTCTCAGCAATGGTTCTTAATGGAAGTTTACTATATTTTCTTTTGCAAGCTTCATGGCAGCAGATAATGCCACGTAGCTAGGCTTCTCTTCTATATAGGTGACTGGAATTGTTCTTTTAGGGGTATAGAAAAGACATTAGTGTCTTCAGTGCACTTTTTTGGGGAAAAAGTAAAGTTGGAGGATACATTTCGTTGTAATGATAAATGAGTTCAGAAAACAGCTGCAAAACAGCACCGTGTTCTGATTCTAGTTGGCTGTGAAATTTGACATAATTAGTAAGGCTTAGATGTTCTTTCAATCAGTAAATTTGGTTGGAAGTACGATTTATTTAAAGTGGTATAGGGAGCAGGGGAAGTTTTGGAAGAGGTGTGAAAGAATACTTCAAGATCTGGAGTTCAGTCTCAACACATTTTTAGTAAATTATATTCTGGTTTCAAAATTTCAAACTTTTTTTTTAGCTATTTTAGTGCTTAGTAGTGCAGAAAATGAACCAAAAGCATAACTGTCACACCTGTTAGATGCTCAAAAATAACATTCTTCAAGATGATTGAAGTACTTGAAGATATGATAGAATGTTTCATATATAGGATATTTCATGTTTTCTTTATGGAGACTACAAACTGAGTGTAAGGGAATACTTGGTATAGACCATCTGGGCCAGGAAGTCTAGTGGTTGCAGTCAGTCATCCAGTTAATTGATGTTCAGATGAGAGGTGCTACAAGAAAATTCCAGCTACCTGTCTGCTCCCTGCCCTTCCTTGCATTATTGCACACCCAGGTGTACTCATATGCCTCATGTAAGTCCCTAATATTACCAAGACCCTGGGGATAAAACTAGGGCCTTTCCCACAAAGTTCAGAAGTCTGAAAATGTGGGGTGTGGCAAGAGAGACTAGAGCGATGTCAAGTGAGCATGCCAAAATCATTTCAGTGGCTGAATGAAATCCCCACTGCAGAGGAGGCCAGCAGTTGTGTTAGATCCTTAACAGTAGCACGATCTGAGGATGCTGAAAAATAGTGATGGTTGAAGTGCTTTATTCAACAAAATGTAACACAGTAAAACAAGTTTGTTTCTTTCCCCAGAGGCCACCTGAATGACCTTGAAAATATTGTCCCGTTTCTTGGCATTGGACTGCTGTATGCTCTCAGTGGCCCTGAGCTGTACACAGCCTTGCTGCACTTCAGGATCTTCGCTGGGGCTAGGATCACTCACACTTTTGCGTACTTGATCCCTCTTCCCCAGCCCGGCAGAGGTCTGTCTTGGTTAATTGGGTATGCAGTGACCATCTCAATGGCGTACCAAGTGCTGAAGGCGGTCTTACACCTGTAGTGAAGTCGTAGCTTCTCTCTACCGTTTGACATTCCACATTTCCTGCGGTCTGTGTTGATGTATTGAGTGAGCTAGTGTGAGTTTTCCGTGGTGACTGAAATTAATTTTTTAACAGAGGTTTTTCATTCCTGTTCAGAAATGCTTCTTTTTGGTGGAAAAAAAACCCCTTCTCCCTGTATTCCCTATTCATGGGGCTGCATTGCCAAAGTGTTAGATTGAATGTTCCCCTTGCAATTTGTCAAGTGCTTACAATTCCAAACATGCAATGATGCTGTATTGATAGCATGTGTGATAATTTTCTACAGATGCACTATTTTTGGCTTTAGCTCTGAAGTCTAAATCAATAAAGACAAGAGGGAAAAAAAAAAAAGCGTGTTTGTATTTTTGTTTTCATTTTGACTCTTCTCACAGCAGCCAGCAAATAGCATGTCACGATGTATCTGGAAGAGATTCCAATCATACAGTTCTTTGAAGAATGCTTACCTTAATAATAAGATAAAACCAGTAATGCTAGGCTTGTTGTAAAAAAATCTTTGATGAAATTGTTGTTTGTATAATCCACTTTGGGATTAAAAAACCCAAACCGTTGCAGCTCCATTTCTCAGTTGAATAGATTAAAAAGAAAAAAGTATGTGGGCTAGACTCTGTTTAGGGACACTGGTGAAAATCTGGAGTAATGCTTTTTGTTGAAGTTACTCCAAGCAAGGGTTCGTGACTGAATAAAGCACAGACTCTTTGTAGGAGTGGTTTTATTTAATGTTATTTTTTAATAAATTCAGCATAAAATGTGACACTTGTGAATGTATTGCACTGGCCCTGGCTGAGATGGAGTCAGTTGTCCCCACAGCACCCCCCCGGCGCTGTGCTGCGTACTGGTAGCTAGAAAGGCGTTCCTAACACCCCCGTGTCTGGGCTGCTGCTCAGTAGTGCTGGCACGGCATCGGGGCTGGCTCGCTGGCACAGCATCGGGGCTGGCTCTCCACCATTCCCCCCACCACCCAGCAGGCTGGGGAGGGGACACAGCCAGGACAGCTGACCCAAACTGACCAAAGGGGTATTCCATAGCATGTGACATCTGCTCAGCAATAAAAGCTAAATGGGGTGGGGGGCATTCGTTACTTATGATGTTTGTCTTCCAGAACAACCCCTGCGCATACTGGACCCCCGATAATAGAAAATTTTGCTGTTTGCTTACATCTTCCTATGATGTGTTAGTTTGAAATATTTTCCTTAAAGACTCTTCCCTGTCTTTTTTGTTTGGTTTGGTTGGTTTTGTAGCTCTGGCTTAAATGATAGCACAAGATTTCAAGAAAAAGAACAATCCCCAGAGGAGTCTGCACATCCAGCGTGCTGGTCGTTGGTTAAGTTTCAGATGGTGGAAGTCGGGAGCGCAGTGTGCTTGGTTTGCTCGCCTACCCCAGGGGCTGTGCTGCTGAGGGATAGCACAGAGAGGAGCTGCTAAGCTCTCTCTGTCGTCTCCGTGTGCCAAGGACTTTGCGTTTCTCTTTTTGCGAGGGAGAAGCGGACGTAGTACAGCGAGGCATGTCACGGGAGGGCCTGCCTATCTACCGGCAGTTGTGAGACGAACCGGTGGAAGCCCATGCGGTGTTACGGTAGGCTGTAGCTGGAAAGGGTCGCGGGAGGAGTCAGGAAGCGTGGAAACACACTGCCTTAATCCAAAGAAGGGAGATTGGCATTGCCATTTAAGAGTAGTGTTTATGTCTACTAGGCAAGGGAAGGTGGGGCTTCAAGCAGTTAATACTGATTTACCAGAAATGAAATCTAATGAGTGAAATAATGAAGACCTGGATCCTGTAGAAGGAGGATGCTTGGGAGAGGAGGATTAAAAGTAGAACAGTGTGGAGCTTCCCTTCCTGAGATGGCAGAGTAAGCGCATCTCAATGCCTCTGGGCATCAAGGGCTCCAATAGGAAACATGGGCTTTCATGTTTCTTCTTGCATCTTTCTCCACCACGTCCTACCTGTGCTCTTTTCCTCTTATTCCTTCTTTCTCTACTGGCTTTTCATGGGATCTTGAGACCAGCTAACTTGGATGGTATCATTGTAACAAGGTAAGATCAGCCATAGGCTCCTACCCTGAGGGACAACGGGCTGGCCTGGGGCCTTGACCTGTGTCTCAAACCAATCCCTGTCAGAGCCAACAGGTTGATCTGTCTGTGGCTTTTCTGCCTCTTTATATCACAACAACAGCAGCTGAAGCTCTATTTCCCTCACTTCTTTGTATCTTGCCTCTTCTTTCGAGCCATGTGTCTGTCTACCCATTTAAAAGAATGGGAAAGTAGCCATGAGGCAGAGGGGCCCATTTGAAATTCAGCAGCAGAGTGAGTCCTTTCCTTCCGCACCAAAGAGGCTCTTTCTGACAAGTCTAGTTGTCATTGCCAGACATATTCAGGAACAGCATTTTTAACTCCTTTTGCATCAAGCTTCTGTACAGAAATCTCTTTCTGAAGAGAAATACCTGGAGCCTGTCTTTATTCCTGTGATCTTACGTTTGAAACAAAACTAGTTTTAAATCCCTTCCATTTGCTCAGTGGTTTCAAAGCTCTGAACATACACTCACTATGTGCCGAGAAGTAGAAAAGATAAACAAACCCTTAGAAATACCTAGAGTGATTCAATATTATTCTGTGTTTCTCTTGCATTTATTTTAAACCTCTATTTTATTTTCCTTTGCTCCCACAAATACCATCTGTGCATCTGGGTGGGGTACGTGCTCAATCTGGGAAATCTGCCTTACCAGTTTCGGTCCAACTGCCAGCTCTGTGGAAGCGTGTTGGAGTGTGGTCCTTGTCAAACGGCTCTTGCCTTTCTCCAGGCCATGCCTTCGAGCGGTATACTGGGCCTGTTGTTGCAGAGCTGTAAATTTTAAAGGGTTAGCTTATTTTCAGAACTTCTAAAGGAAAAAGAGCGTATTAGTTGAATGTATTACTGAGCTAAACTGAGTTTTCACCTTTTAAAATATGCACGTGCGGATTTTGGATGGCTATTATCAGGTTCTGTTACAAAATCATTAAAATAATCTGTCACTGATGGAACGACTGGCTGTTATCAGCAGGTATGCGGCTTTCGGCCTGGTGAAAGTACAGAAAAGGTTAGTCTGTGGGACGCATATAAAAACAGGTAAAACCAACGTCTTCTAAGCTTCATTTCTGTCCCTTATGCCTGTTACTCCTGCCACTATTCTTAGGTGACCGGAGAAACGACAAGTTTTCTTCTCTCTCTGCCAATTATTCCTGGTTTTTTATATTCTTTCTTCTCCGAAGTATTTGTGTATCTTTGAAATGGCTCCAGTACTTTGAAATGTTAGCTGACACAGCTTGACCTAGTTAGCTGATTTTGTCTCTGAGTGGATTTCGTGGCCTGTTTCGTTTTCAGAAGTGTAAACACGTGAGCAATTCCTCAGTTCAGTTTGCAGCTCTGTGAGTAAATGCCTGTGTGGCTTTGGCCCAAGTGACTTTGTCCTGATTTTCATGGCTGCAGCCAGACGCGCTGAAGGCAGTGGAGGGAGTTGGTGACTGGCAAAGAGCTCTGAGCTAGGACTTGCCATTCGAGCGTGATTTCGCATCTTGTCACAACAAAGCAGGTGTTTAAAGCTATAAATGTTACATTAAACGTTTCCTTGAATTTTCAGAAGCAAGTGTGTATTGGAACTTCACTGCCTTCAAAGTATTCATTTCAAGAAACTGGGTCAGTATTTCTGAAACTTGATGAAATTACATAAGTCACCAAAATACAGGAAAATAAAAGCTTAGGCTGCTAACTCAAATCAATTTGGGGCTTTGAAAAAATTCAGTCTAGATTTTCGATGGAAAATTTTGTGTGTCCTTTCTAAAAGCAAAACTTTAAAAATACCCTTTTAAAAGTAACTGGGATGTTGTCTCTTGTTATGCAAACTAACATGTTTTTCATTTCAAGGCTGAAGTTTAGGAAGATCTTTTCCAAACCTTGTTCCGCTGGCTGAGGTGGCGCGTCAGTGCTCTGCGAAAGGTTGTACTGACATACATTAAAATAGCCTCATTAGATGCCTCCAGCTGTTGGATACTTAGCGAAATACATCTTTGTGATTGACTTTATGTAAAGCAAAGCAGTATTTTATTAAATACTGATTTTCCAGCCTCCAAAACTTGATTGATTACTGACTCCCACTCATAGATTTTGAAGGCTAAAATAGATCATTAGCTCCTTCAGCCTGACCTCTAGTGGAAAGTCTGCCATGGAATGGCTGCCCTTCTGCTGAGGTTAGTTTAATCACAGCATGACTTCAGAAAGGGGTGAGATCTTCATTCCGAGACTTTGGGAGACAGGCGTTGATTCGCTCTTTCCTATGGCATTGTTTCTCTCTGGAATACCTGCATACTAAACTTACTCTTTAAAACCAGCATAGGTTCTTTTTGTTGGCTTTGTGTGTTGTTTGGGTTTTTCTTTTTAAATCAAGGCAGTTGTTATTAAATTATTGCAGTGCGAGAAGGAATATGTATTATTTTAAACAGGTGCTTTCCTCCTACAAAGCACTCGGCTCTTTATTCCTGTACACTCCTGGAAAAACAAAAATTTAGAGCCCCTTTCCACACGCAAAAAAATACTACTGTTCTAAAAGTAGGCGTGAGAAGTTTTTTTTCTGTGTAATAGTGCTAATTAGACATTCTTAGGAACACATGTTATGGTGAATATGCGCACACGGGACTGTATCCTGCACAAATGCGTGCAGTGTATGAAGCTGTAGCCATGATCCTATGTCATGAATTCTCTCAGCAGTACCACAGTGGTGTAGGGCCTCCCTTGCTAACCTGGAGTGAAGCATCTTGAAGTGGATGCTCGTAAAAGAGTGGAAAATGACCTCTCCAGCACGCTTTCTTCAAAGCCTACTGAGCTATAATACGGGCAGGGGAATGGTGGCTGACTTCTGTGAACTAGCCAGCCTCTACTCCTCAAGACAGCATTTCCAAGTACTGACCTGTATGCCAGGTGGCTGCTTTTGCCATGGAAACACATTTAAAAGTAATTCATTTTTATGCA